AATCCCAGCACTTTGGGAGGCTGACCAGGTGAATCACCTGAGGTCAGGAGTTCAAGATCAGCCTGGCCAACATGCCAAAACCCCACCTCTACTAAAAATACAAAAATTAGCCAGGCATGGTGACAGTGCCTGTAATCCCAGCTACTTGGGAGACTGAGGCAGGAGAATCACTTGAACCCAGGAGGCAGAGGTTTCAGTGAGCCAAGATCGTGCACTACACTCCAGCCTGGGAAACAATAGCGAGACTCCATCGCAAAAAAAAAAGAAACCTTGCTTATTCATTTTTATCTATAGGATCTGTAACGAAGTCCCCTCTTTCATTTCTGATATTGGTAATTCATGGGTTTGTTGTTGTTGTTGTTGTTTTGTTTGTTTTTTGAGACAGAGTCTTGCTCTGTCACCAGGCTGGAGTGCAATGGTGCAATCACAGCTCACTGCAACCTCCGCCTCCCAGGTTCAAGTGATTCTCCTGTCTCACTCAGCCTCCCGAGTAGCTGGGATTATAGGGCGCCCGCCACCACGCCCAGCTAATTTTTGTATTTCTAGTAGAGATGGGGTTTCACCATGTTGGCCAGGATGGTCTTGATCTCTTGACCTTGTGATCCGCGCACCTCACCCTCACAAAGTGCTGAGATTACAGGCGTGAGCCACCATGCCCAGCCTCTTGTGTTCTCTTTTTTCTAAATTTGGCTACAGATTTATCAGTGATATTGATCATTTCAAAAAATTAGCTTTTGGTTTCATTCATATCTATATTGTGTTTTCTGCTCTTTGGGTTATTATTTCCTGTTTCTGCCTTCTTTGGCTTTAGTTTTTCCTTCTTTTCCTACTTCTGATTTGAGACCTTTCTTATTTTCTTATATAATTTTTAATGCTATAAATTTTGCTTTAAACATTTCCTGAATTATATTCCACAATTTTCCTTATGTTATGTTTTCACTATTATTCTGGTAAAAATATTTTCTAGTGATATTTGTGATTTCTTCTTTGACCCTTTGGTGTTTAGAAGCAAGTTAATTTCTAGACATTTGGGGTCCTTTCTGGATGAGTTGTTGTTGCAGATTTCTAATTTATTGCTGTTGTGGTCTGGAAACACTCTGTAAGATGTTGATCTTTTGAAGTCTGTTGAGACAAGCGTGTGGTCTGTCTTGATGAATGTCTCACACATGGCGGAAAGAGTGTGCGTTCTGGAGTTGTTGGTGATTATGTTCTCTAAATGTCAAGTTCAGTTTGTAGTGTTGCTTGAATCTTCTGTATACCTTTTTCTTTTTGTCTACTTGTTCTATTACTGAGAACAGCGTGTTAAATCTCCAGCTATGATCGTAGATTGTCTATTTTCCCTTTGGTTTTATTAGATTCTGTTTATATATTTTGGCATACTCTTACTAGATGTGTATATGTTTGTAATTGTATATTTCTGTTGTACTGAACAGGAACTATCCTTTTTTGTCTCTTAATACTCATTCTATTGAAGAATAATTTGTGTGTGATTGATACAGTACTACAGGCCATGTGCAGTGGCTCATGCTTGTAATTCCAGCACTTTGAGAAGCTGAGGCAGGAGGAATGCTTGAGGCCGGGAGTTTGAGACCAGCCTGGGCAATATAGTGAGACCATCTCTACCAAAAAAAAAAAAAAAAAGTTTAGGAAACCAGCCAAGCATAATGATATGTGCCTGTAGTTCTACATAGAAGGCGGCAGCAGGAGGATCGCTTGAAGCTAAGAGTTGGAGGTTGCAGTGAACTCTGATCACACCACTGCAGTCCAGGCTGGATGACAGAATAAGGCCCTGTCTTAAAACACACACACACACACACACACACACACACACACACACACACACACACACACCCTCAGCTATGACAGCTCTCTTACGCTAGCTGTTTGCATGGTATATAATCTTGAAGACAAAATAAGGTTGGTTCTTGCTTTCTTAAGTCAGTCTGACCATTTGTGCCTTTTGCTTGGGGTACTTCATTTATGTTTGATGCAATTATTTAAATGGTTGTAGTTACATGGTATTCTCTGCCTCATCTATGTTTTGTTCCTCAGTTTATTCTTTCTTGCCTTTTATTCATTCATTAATGTTATATTTTCTTTGGACATATTTGTCTTCCCTCATTAGTGGAAGTAAATTTCCATATCATTATTTTATCCATTAATACCAAGCTGCACTGTTTGCTCAAATTTACACCCACGTCCCTTTCTTAATTACCTTTTTCAATCTTTTAACTTTTGTTTTTTAAAATTTTATGTCTCTCTAAGTTTTCTGGTTATATCCATTCCATCTCCTTCTACATATTCTTATTTTATAAATGGCGGGCAGCAAGCTTGCCCATAGACATGGCGCAAAGGAGAAAGCCGGCTTCGTGAAAGGTGGGAGGAGGCTCATCCCTGCTGCCTGGCCCTGCACCTGCTCCTCCAGCAGCTCGAATCCATTTCTTACCATCCAGTCTTCACCCTCAGCAACCCAACTGGAGCCACTCAAGACCCATGAGCCAAACGGATGACCATCATTACTTCGAACAAGATGGCCTTGCAATTCCAGGTCACAGCCGCCTGCTGCCCTCAGAGGAATGACTCACCCCAAATCCAGATTCCACCATGCATGGCCATCAAACATGAGGCCATCTGGGGACACGTCATGGGGACTGGGTGCATATAAGTCACATTTCTAGCTACCTTTGGAAAACCTTTCTGTGTGAGATGAAAGGTGGTACCCAGCTTCTGGACTTGGAGTTTGGATTTCGGTTTCTAGCTGCCCTGAAACATGCTTGGGACACAGGCTTGGAAGACGGAGCAGCAAGGAAGCAGCGTCTCAGCGTCACGGTCTGCGCAGAGGGGCAGCGTTTGGCAGCTTCCGAGGCCAACTTCTCAGCAGAGGATCCCTGTGCCTGAGGACACAGTGTCCAGAGGTGCTGGGTGGGGCGGGGGATATGATAACTGGGAAACAGCCCTGAGCCGAGTTCCTATCCCTCCCAGCTGGGTAGCGAGGATTCAGGAGTTTGCAGAGCTCTGCCTGACACTGTGCTCAGGCGTGGCCTGGGCAGTGTCTTCGCATCATCAGCAAAGGCATCTGGGCTTTCTCCTGTCGGTCCTGGTGGCCCCCTCCATCATCCCTCCACGCGTGAGCCCCTCTTTTGTCATTTGCCTACGCTGTGTACATCAGGCTGGGGACACGCAGGCCTGACTGAGCATGGTGAGATCTAGAATTTACGCATCATTCAGTGAATGTTCTTTAGATTCTTGTTCAACATTTATTTGGTAAGAAGTAGGTAAAATTTTCCACTGATAAAGACCTTACGCTTTCTCAGTAACCTTATGTCCCGGCTGTCCTTTTGCTCACACCTTTGAGCTTTTCTTGCTGTTCGAGTCAGCGTCCTCTAGAGGGACGGGGCTAATAGGGTAGATGCATCTGTGAAGGGGGTTTCTGAGGAGAACTGACTACACAATCACAAGGTGAGGTCCCACCATAGGCCGTGTGCAAGCTGAGGCGCCAGGAAGCCAGTCCGAGGCCCAAAACCTCAACAGCAGGGATGCCGACAGCACCGCTGTGTCTGCGGCCGAAGCCCCGAGAGCCCCTGACAAACCACCGGGGTGAGTCCAGGAGCCCCACAGCTGAAGAACTTGGAGTCCGAGGTTGGAGAGCAGGAAGCATCCCGCACGGGAGAAAGACGGAGGCTGGGAGACTCAGCCAGTCCAGTCCTTCCACGTTCCTCTGCCTGCTCTATCCCAGCCGCGCCGGCAGCTGATGAGATGGTGCCCACCCCGACGGAGGGTGGGTCTGCCTCTCCCAGTCCACTGACTCAAATGGCAATCTCCTTTGGCAGCACCCTCACAGACACACCCAGGATCAGTGCTTGGCATCCTTCAATCCAGTCAAGTTTGGGTTGGATGATGACACTCAGTATTAGTATTAACCATCACACTCCCCAACTCAAAAAAGCAAAGAAAGAAACAAAATTCCCCAAAACACAACTATTTCTCAAGAGTGTTTGTAAGCCGTGCAGGACTTGCCTAGGGCTGCAAGGGTATGGTGGTTTCTAGGCACACAGCACCTCCGGAGAAAATTTCCATCATCTTTTCTCCTGCCACACCTCCCTCCCAGCCTCACGAAGGTGGGGCTCCCGCTCCCGACCGGATCCCACTGTTCAGTCTTCCAAGCACCTCCTTTCTGGACCTCCCTCAGGTTTCCTGTAATCCAGCGCAGCTCTGTCCCCCCAGCTCCTGTCTTCAAGCTTGAGCAGCTCCTTCCAGCATCTCTAGGCCATCAGACACCACCTTAGAAAGTTTTGGGGATATTTTTAAAATGGATTTGTCTTTTATGAGTTCAAGTTCAAACTAAGGGAGTCAATTTACTCACTAGTTTTTCTATTTCTGTGTAACAAATTTCACCATTTCAGTAACTTAACACAAATGCATTCCCTCCCTCCCTCCCTTCCTCCCTTCCTTTTCCTTTCTTTCCTGACGGAGTTTCACTCTGGCTGTGCAGGCTGGAATGCATTGGCACGATCTCAGCTCACCGAAACCTCTGCCTCCCAGATTCAAGCAATTCTCCTGCCTCAGCCTCCCAAGTAGTTGGGATTACAGGTGCCTGCCACCAAGCCTGGCTAATTTTGTATTTTTAGTAGAGACGGGTTTCATCATGTTGGCCAGGCTGGTCTCAAACTCCTGACCTCAGGTGATCCATCCACCTCGGCCTCCCAAAGTGCTGGATTTCCAGGCATAAGCCACTGTGCCCGGCCCTCTCTCCACTTTCTATGGGGTCAGCTGAGTCCTCTGCTTCTTGTCCCGCCAGGCTGAAATCAAGGCATCACCCACAGCTCTGATCTCATCTGAGGCATGAGGGTCTCTTCAGGGTTGTTCTGGTTGTTGATTTGTCAACAATCAGTTGTAGGGCTGAGGCCCTCAACCCCACCCTCAGAGGTCACCACCCTTCCCCAGTGGCCCACATGTGGCAGTGTGTGTCCTTCCTGCTTCTGCTTCTGCTCTCCTCTCAGGACTCACCTGATGAGGCCAGGCCTACCAGAGGAACTCAGGAGCCGGTGCGTGCTGGAGTTGGCTGGCACTGGCTCCCGGATGGATTGCTGCATTGCCAGGAGCTTTGCAAGCCAGTTATTAGATGCAGACATTGCTGAAAATTAAATGATATGTACTTGCAATAAATAAAGCTTACTTAAAACATAGGAAATAAATACTTGAAGCCATCACTTTCTAATTATTTTACTACATTTTCCATCACCTACGCACATGAGGTCAATGATGTCAGTTGTAGCTGTAGGGGTAAAAGCTGTAATGGGCTTCCACGATCTCTTCCCAGTGCTGTGCTCAGTGACTTCATGTGTGGCTCAAAGTCGGCCACGATGGGGGCATTTACACCACAGAAATTGGCAAATGCTACAAATGCAGGTTTGATTATTGTTTTATTGACTGTCTAGATTGAATAAAATTATGAGAAAATATGAGTAATGTAGATTAAAGTTAAATGTGTTGCGGCTCTAACCATTACATTGTGAAGAATACCAAAAATTAAGGAAATGTTCTTCTAGTATTAGAAAACTATCCTCTGGTTCAGAAGAGGCACTCATGTCATTGATGAAGTGACATTCCAATGCCTTTTTTATTTCAATTCTCTTTCACTCATTAACATAAATGAAAATATGAACCACGTTCAACTCAGAGCTGCACTGTTCATTAATAATGTGAGCAAGTTCTCTGCTGGGTCAGATGATAATCAGGCATTTGTTCAGAGCCTAATTTTGTGACACCATTGTTGGTGACAGAATTATAAAACTTGAGGGTGGGCCAGGTGCAGTGGCTCATGGCTGTAATCCTGGCACTTTGGGAGGCCGAGGTTGGCAGATCACTTGAGGTCAGGAGTTCGAGACCAGCCTGGCCAACATGGCAAAACCCCTTTTCTACTAAAAATACAAAAATTAGCCAGGCGCAGTGGTGCACACCTGTAATCCAAGCTACTTGGGAGGCTGAGGCAGGAGAATCACTTGAATCCAGGTGCCAGAGGTTGCAGTGAGCTGAGATTGTGCCACTGCACTCCAGCCTTGGTGACAGAGCAAGACTCCATCTCAAAAAAAAAACAAAAAACTGAGAGTGGATTGTGTAAGAAATAGCAAGTCACACTGGAGCAAGAGGTACAAAACAAAAATGATAAATATTTTAGCTTAAAATATGTTATTTCTAAAATTATATGAAGAAATTAGTAATGGGAATTTTTATGTTAACTCTCAAGTAGTAGCATGAATTTTAATAACAAAATTATTTTTCAAATTTTTAATATAAATTAAAATATGAACTACATTCAACTCAGGGCTGCACTGTTCATAAATGTGAGCAAGTTCTCTGCTGGGTCAGATGATAATCAGGCATTTGTTCAGAGCCTAATTTTGTGACATGGTTGTTGGTGATAGAATTATAAAAACTGAGGGTGGGTCAGGCACAGTGGCTCATGACCCTAAACTACCAAGAAAACAGATTAACTTATGTTTTTTAAGTGTGATTATGGTTAAAAAAAAAAAGACACAGAAAAGAATCCTGGTGCCCTTCACTCACATACTTGCTTATTGACTTGTTACTGTCAGGCAGCACTGAGATGAAGGATCTCTCAGTAATGCAATTTTTACTTCCTGGAAGGGTGCCCTCACTAGCCATCTTGCCATGAGAGTACAATGAACAAAGGAAAAGCAGGCATATTTATCCCTGATGCATTTGGGGTTGTCCCTACTGCTGTGTCTGATCTCCATTGGCTGGAGCCAGACCTCACAATCTAAACTAAAACCCAATTGGCTAACAACTTGAAACTTTTCTAAACAGGTAAAAGCAATGGAGAGCCATGGGGGTCCTCTTCACACAGGTGTCCCCAAGGCTCAGCCCTTGATTCTGTCCCTTCTGTCCTATACTCACTCCCTTGGTGACCTCGTCTAGATTTTTTGTTGTTCTTCTTTTCTTACATTTGAAGGTTATTTTTTTCTCCAACTTTTATTTTAAGTTCAAGGGTACATGTGCAGGATGTGCAAGTGTGTGACATGGGTAAACATGTTCCCTGGTGGCCTGCTGCACAAATCATCCCATCCCCTAGGTAAGAAGCCCAGCCTCCATTAGCTGTTACTCCTGATGCTCTCCCTCCCTCTACCCACCACTCTCCACAGGCCCCAGGGTGTGTCGTTCCCCTCCTACCCTGTCCTGTGTCCATGTGTTCTCATCATTCAGCTTCCATTTATAAGTGAGACTACATGGTATTTGGTTTTCTTTTCCTGCATTAGTTTGCTGAGGATAATGGCTTCCAACTCCATCCAGGTCCCTGCAAAGGACATGATCTCATTTCTTTTGATGGTTGCATAGTATTCCATGGTCTAAATGTGCCACATTTTCTTTATCCAGTCTATTGTCAGTGGGCATTTAGGCTGATTCCATGTCAGCCTATTGTGAATAGTGCTGCAGTGAACCTATGTGTGTATGTATCTTTATAACAGAAAGATTTATATTCTTCTTTTTTTTTTCTGAGACAAAGTCTCACTCTGTCGCCAGGCTGGAATGCAATGGTGTGATCTTGGCTCGCTGCAGCCTATGCCTCTGGAGTTCAAGCAATTCTCCTGCCTCAGCCTCCCAAGTAGCTGGGATTATAGGCATGTACAACCATGCCCAGATAATTTTTGTATTTTTAGTAGAGACAGTGTTTCACCATGTTGGCCAGGATGGTCTTGATCTCTTGACCTCATGATCCACACACCTCAGCCTCCCAAAGTGCTGGGATTACAGGCCTGAGCCACTGCTCCTGGCCAGACTGATTTATATTCTTTTGAGTATACACCCATTAACGATGTATACTCAAATGGTATTTTGACCTCTAGGTCTTTGAGGAATCGCCACACTGTCTTCCACAATGGTTAAACTAATTTACACTCCCACCAAGAATGTAAAGCATTCCTTTTTCTCCACGACCTTGCCAGGGTCTCTTGTTTTTTTTTACTTTTTACTAATAGCCAGTCTGACCAGCATGAGCTGGCATCTCACTGTGGTTTTGATTTGCATTTCTCCAGTGATCGATCAGTAGTGAGCTTTTTTTTTCATATGTTTGTTGGCCGCATGTATGTCTTCTTTTGAAGAGCATCTGTTCGTGTTCTTTGCCCACTTTTTAATGGAGTTGGTTTTTTTCTCATAAATTTGTTTAAGTTCCTTTGTCAGATGAGTAGATTGCAAACATTTTCTCCCATTCTGTAGGTTGTCTGTTCACTATGACGCTAGTTTCTTTTGCTGTGCAGAAGCTCTTTAGTTTAATTCGATCCCATTTGTTGATTTTTCGCTTTTACTGTAATTGCTGTTGGCATTTCAGTCATAAAATCTTTGCCCATGACTATGTCCTGAATGGTATTGCCTGGATTTTCTTCTAGGGTTTTCATAGTTTGGGGTTTTATAATACATTTAAGTATTTAATCCAACTTGAGTTAATTTTTGTATAAGGTGTAAGGAAGGGATCCAGTTTCAATATTCTGCATATGGCTAGCCAACTCTCCCAGCACCATTTATTAAATAGGAAATCCTTTCTCTATTGCTTGTTTTTGTCAGGTTTGTCAAAGATCAGACAGTTGTAGATGAGGGATCTTATTCTGTTCCATTGGTCTGTGTTTCAAAGATCAGATGGCTGTAGATGTGTGGTCTTATTTCTGAGTTTTCTATTCTGTTCTATTGGTCTGTGTGTCTGTTCTTGTGCCAGTATCATACTGTTTTGGTTACTGTGGCCTTGTAGTATAAATTCAGGTAGCATAATACCTCCTGCTTTGCTCTTTTTGCTGAGGATTGTCTTGGCTGTTTGGGTTCTTTTTTGGTTCCATGTGAATTTTAAAATAGTTTTTCTAATTTTGTGAAGAATGTCAATGGTAGTTAGATGGAACTAGCATTGAATCTATAAATTACTTTGGGCAGTATGGCCATTTTCATGATATTGATTCTTCCTATCCATGAACAGAGAATGTTTTTCCATTTATTTGTGTCATCTCTGATTTCTTCGAGCAGTGGTTTGTAGCTCTCCTTGAAGAAGTCCCTCACTTCCCTCGTTAGCTGTATTCCTAGGTATTCTTTTCTTTTTGTGGCAATTGTGAATGGGAGTTCATTCATGATTTGGCTCTCTGCTTGCCTGTTGTCGGTAGGTAGGAATGCTAGACATTTTTGACATTGATTTTGCATCCTGAGACTTTGCCGAAGTTGCTTATAAGCTTAAGAAGCTTTTGGGTTGACACAAAAGGTTTTTCTAGATATAGAATTATATCATCTGCAAACAAAGATAATTTGACTTTCTTTCTTCCTGTTTGAATATGCTGTATTTCTTTCTCTTGCCTGATTGCCCTGGCCAGAACTTCCAATACTATGTTGAATAGGAGGAATGGTGAGAGAGGGCATCTTTGTCCTGTGCTGGTCTTCAAGGGGAGTGCTTCCAGCTTTTGCCCATTCAGTATGATATTGGCTGTGAGTTTGTCATATATGGTTTTTATTGTCCTGAGATATGTTCCTCCAACACCTAGTTTATTGAGAGTTTTTAACATAAAGGGATGTTGGATTTTATCAAAGGCCTTTTCTGCATCTATTGAGACAAATATGTGGGTTTTGCCTTTCTTTCTGATTATGTGATGAATCACAATTATTGATTTGTGTATGTGGACCCAAGCTTGCATCTCTGAGATGTAGCCAACTTGATTGTGGTGTATAAGACTTTTGATGTGCTGCTGGAGTTGATTTGACAGTATTTTATTGAGGATTTTCCATTGATGTTCGTCAAGGATATTGGCCTCAAGTTTTCTTCTATCTCTGCCAGGTTTGGATATCAGGATGATACTGGCCTCATAGAATGAGTTAGGAAGGAGTTCCTCCTTTTCAATTTTTTGGACTAGATTCAGTAGAAATAGTACCAGCTCTTCTTTGTACCTCTGGTAGGATTCAGCTGTGAATCTGTCTGGTCCTGGGCTTCTTGATAGGCTGTTTACTGTTGCCTCAATTTTAGAACTCGTTGTTGGTCTATACAGGGATTCAGTTTCTTCGTGGTTCAGTCTTGGGAGGGTGTATGTGTCCAGGAATGTATCCATTTCTTCTAGATTTTCTAGTTTGTGTGCATAGAGATGTTTATAGTATTTGCTGATAGTTGTTTGTATTTCTGTGGAGTCAGTGGTGATACCCCCTTATTATTTCTGATTGCCTCTACTTGAATCTTCTCACTTTTCTTCTTTATTAGTTTAGCTAGCGGTCTATTATATTAATTTAAAAAACAGTTCCTGGATTCATTGATTTTTTAAAGGGTTTTTTGTATCTCTGTCTTCTGCAGTTCAGCTCTGATATTGGTTATTTCTTGTCTTCTGCTAGCTTTTGAGTTTGTTTGCTCTTGGTTCTCTAGTTCTTTTAGTTGAGATGTTAGGTTGTTAACTTGAAATTTTTATAGCTTTTTGATGTGGGCATTCAGTGCTATAAATTTCCCTCTTAACACTGTTTTAGCTGTGCCCCAGAGATTCTGCTGCATTTTCTCTTTGTTCTGATTATTTTCAAAGAACTTCTTGATTTCTGCCTTAATTTCATTATTTACCCAAGAGTCAATCAGGAGCAGGTTGCTCCATTTCCATGTAGTTCAGTGGTTTTGAGTGAATTTATTAATCTTGAGTTCTAATTTGAGTTCTAATTTATTAGTCTAGCTAGTGGTCTAGCTAACACTGTGGTCTGAAAGACTGTTATGATTTCAGTTGTTTTGCATTTGATGAGTTATGTTTTGTTTCCTATCATGTGATCAATTTTTAAGTAAGTGTCATGTGGTGATGAGGAGAATGTGTATTCTGTTATCTTTTTGGTTGAGAATTCTGTAGATATCTATCAGGTCCACTTGATCCATGGCTGAGTTTAGGTCCTGAATATCTTTGTTAATTTTCTCTCAATGATTTGTCTAATATTGTCAGTGAGGTGTTAAAGTCTTCCTCTATTGTTGTGTGGGAATCTAAGTCTCTTTATGGATCTCTAAGAACTTTGTTTATGAATCTGGGTGCTCCTGTATTGAGTGCATATACATTTAGGATAGTCAGCTCTTGTTGAAATGAACTCTCTATCATTTTGTAATGCCCATCTTTGCCTTTTTTGATCTTTGTTGGTTTAAAGTCTGTTTTTTCAAAAAGTAGGATTGCACCCCCTACTTTTTTCTGTTTTCCATTTGCTTGATAAGTTTTTATCCATCCTCTTATTTTGGGCTGGTGTGTGTGTCTTCACATGTGCGATGCATTTCTTGAAGACAGCACACTGACAGATCTTTGTTCTTTATGCAGCTTGCCACTCTGTGTCTTTTAATTGGGGCATTTGGCCCATTTATATTTAAGGTTAGTATTGTTATGTGTGAATTTCATCCTGTCATCATGATGCCCAATGATTATTTTGCAGGCTTGTTTATGTAGTTGCTTCATAATGTCACTGGTCTGTATATTTCAGTGTGTTTTCACAGTGGCTGGAAACGGTTTTTCCTTTCCATATTTAGTGCCTCCCTCAGGAGCTCTTGCAAGGTAGGCTTGGTGGTGATGAATGCCCTCAGCATTTGCTTGTCTGAAAAGGATCTTATTTCTCCTTTGCTTATGACGCTTAGTTTGGCTGGATATGAAATTCTGGGTTGGAAATTCTTTTCTTTAAGAATGTTGAGCCATGTGCAGTGGCTCATGCCTGTAATCCCAGCACTTTGGGAGGCCGAGGCAGGTGGATCATGAGGTCAAGGGTTCAAGACCATCCTGGCCAACATGATAAAACCCCATCTCTACTAAAAATACAAAAATTAGCTGGGCGTGTTGACATGCGCCTGTAGTCCCAGCTACTTGGGAGGCTGAGGCAGGAGAATCGCTTGGTCCCAGGAGGTGGAGGTTGCAGTGAGCCGAGATCACCCCACTGCACTCCAGCCTGGCACCTGACAGCAGAGCAAGACTGTCTCAAAAAAAAAAAGAATGTTGAGTATTGGCTCCCAATCTCTTCTGACTTGTAGAGTTTCCACTGAGAGGTCCACTGTTAGTCTAATGGGTTTCCCTTTGTAGGTGGCCTGGCCTTTCTCTCTGGCTGCCCTTAACACTTTTTCTTTCATTGCAACCTTGGAGAATCTGACGATTATGTGTCTTGGGGTTGATCTTCTCATGGAGTATCTTACTGGGGTTCTCTGCATTTCCTGAATTTTAATGTTGACCTGTCTTGCTAGGTTGGGGAAGTTCTCCTGGATCATATCCTGAAGTATGTTTTCCAATTTGGTTCCATTCCCCCAGTCTCTTTCAGGTACCCCAGTCAGTCATAGGTTTGGAGTCTTTACATAATCCTATATTTCTCAGAGGCTTTTTGTCACTGCTTTTCATTCTTTTTTGTTCTCTATTCTTGTCTGCCTATCTTATTTCAGAAATAGTCTTCAAGCTCTAAGATTCTTTCCTCTGCTTGGCCTATTCTGCTATTGATACTTGTAATTGCATTGTGAAGTTCTCATATTGGGTTTTTCAGTGCCATCAGGTCAGGTTATGTCCCTCTCTAAACTGGCTATTCTGGCTATCAGCTCCTGTATTGTTTTATCATGATTCCGAGCTTCTTTGCATTGGGTTACAGATGCTCCTTTAGCTCAGTGAAGTTTGTTATTGCCCACCTTCTGAAGCCTACTTCTAACAAATCAGCCATGTCAGCCTCAGCCCAGTTCTGTGCCCTTGTTGTAGAGGTGTTGCAATCATTTGGAGGAGAAGAGGCACTCTTTGAGTTTTCAGCGTGTTTGGATTTATTTATTTTTGGTACCAAATTTCTTTATTTAAAGGAATGGTACAAAGAACTTAAGTGGGTGTTTTGGTACAACTTATAGAAAAGGTGAAGGAAATCCCAACATGCATGCACTGCCTTGGTGACCAGGGAAGTCACCCGTTGGCAATGGGGAAATTAGCCTAAGGCTTAGCTTTCATTTTCGCTGTCTCCCATGGTGTGCTTGTCAAAGAGATATTCTGCCAAGTCAGATTGGGGTGCCCCCATCTTGTGCAAGTTGGTCACGTGGTCACCCAATTCTTTGATGGATTTCACCTGCTCATTCAGGTAATGTGTCTCAATGAAGTCACACAAATGGGGGTCATTTTTGTCAGTGGTCAGTTTGTGCAGTTCCAGTAGTGACTGATTCACATTTTTTTCCAAATGTAATACACACTCCATCGCATTCAGCCCACTCTCCCCGTCATCATGGTCTGGTTTCTTGATATCCTGAAGGAAGACGCGGTCACCTCGTTGGTTCTGCAGCTTCATCAGTTTCTCGGCATGTTCCCTCTCCTCATGAGATTGCTGAAGAAAGTACTTGGCAAAGTTCTTCAAAGCCACATCATCGCGTCAAAGTAGTAAGACATGGACAGGTGAACACAGGAGGCGCAGAGCTCCAGGTTGATCTGGCAGTTGATGGTGGCCTCTGAATCCTGGTGGTAGTTCTGGCGCACCTGTGAAGGTGATGCGGTCTTCATGGCGGCGGCCTTGGGGCGGTCTGAGGGCATGGTGTGGAGGTGACGAAGGGCTGGTTGTGGGCGACCGGCCAGGGTCGGGGACGAGGGCCGGGTTCCGTCCAAGCACTGTTGAAGCAGGAAACCGTGGTGACTCTCGCTGAAGAACATCTCTGCATTGATTCTTTGTCATCTTTGTAGGCTTGTCTACCTTCAATCTTTGAGGTTGCTGACCTTTGAATGGGGTTTTTGTGGGGGCTTTTTTGCTGATGATGTTGTTGTTTTCCATTTGTTTTCTTCTAACAGTCCAGCCACTCTACCATAAAGTGGCTGCAGTTTGCTGCGGCTCCACTTGAGACTTGGCTTTTCCCCAACCTGGACGTATCACCAGTGAAGACTGAGAAGCAGCAAACATGGCAGCCAGCTCCTTCCTCTGGAAGCTCTGTCCTGGGGGGTACTCACCTGTTGCCACCTTGAACACACCTGCAGGAGGTGGCTGTAGACACCTGTTGGGAGGTCTCACCCAGTCAGGAGAAATGGTATCAGGGACCCACTGCAAGAAGCAGTCTGGCTGCTTTTTTGGTAGAGCAAGTGTGCTGTGTTTTGTTGATAGAGGGGAGTCCTTCCTCATCCAGACCATTTGTATTCTCCAAAGCTGTCAGGCTGGAATGACTAAGTCAGACAAACTGCAGAGATGGTGGCCGCCCCTCCCCACAGGAGCTCTATCCCAGTGAGAGGTCCGAGCTCTGTCTGCAGAATGCTGGCTGGAGTGGCTGAAGCCCCTGCAGGGAGGACCTGCCCAGTGAGGAGGAGTGGGTTGGAATCACTCTTAAAGAACCACTCTGGCCATGATCTGGCAAGGCAGCTGTGCTGTGTTATGGAGGATCCCCATCACCTGGACCACTTGTATTCTCCAAAGTCTCAGGCTGGAACGGGTAAGTCTACCGAATTGCAGAGATGGCAGCCTCGCCTCCCCTGGTAACTCAGACCCATCTCTGGCAGAGTCTGGCCTGTTGCTGTTGGCTGGCTGGGACTCCAAGCCAGTGGGTCTTAGCCTGTGAGGTGCTGTGGAGGTGAGGTCGGTAGAACAATTTTGCTTGACTCCATGGAGTCAGCCTTCTTCCTGGAAATATGGAAGGATGGATTTCCCGCCGTGGCAGGGATCCTGGGGCTCTGCATGTGGCTGAGTGGCTGCTCTGCTGAAGTTCCACAAAGTTCTGTGTATTGGACCCAGGCACTGGTGGCAGGGGCTCATGAAGGGATCTCCTGATCTGCCGGAGAGGCCTGATTTCCCAGGCAGGGTCACACAGTCACTCACCGCTTCCTCGGCTGGGGTGGGGTTCCTTTGGCTCCGTGCCACTCCAGCGTAGGCCATCGACCCCTCCACCGCTTCACTTTGTTCTCTGTGAGTCAAGTTGCTTGCCTAATTAGTCCCAACATGAGAACCTGGATATTTCAGTTGAAGAAGCTGAATTCATTCACCCCTTTTCATTCTTCTCTGTGAGACCACAGCTGTTTCTAATTAGCCATCATGGATCGACCTGAAGGTTATTTTAAGGTCATCTAGTTGCATGGCTTTAAGTAACACCTTCCCAAATCCATATTTCAGCTCAGATTTTTCCCTGGGCCTCCAGATAAGCCATGACCTGTCTGACCTCTACCTTGGGGTGTCCAACAGGCACCCACCCAACGCATGGAAACTCAAGGGTCTGTTCTACTCACACAGATCAGTTCCACCCTAGTGCCCTGTTTGGAGGCTGGAAACCCTATCCCTGCTCTGGCCAGAAACCTCAGGGCCGTCTTCTATGCCCCAACCCACAGCCAGGCAGCAAATTCTGTGGCCTCTCACCTCGACGCATGTTGGAGCCTGACAGAGCCCTGCATTTCTGACCTGGGTGATGAAAGATCCACCCCTGGTCCTGTCTATTTCAAAGGAACTGCCACAGATATCCTTCAAAATTTTAAGTCAATATACATCATCCTGTGCTCAAAATGGCTTTGGGCTCATTCCGAGTAAGAGCTGAGTCATTAAAGGCGACTGAGTCACCACATGAGTTTGCCTCTGGCTACCCCCAGCCCTGTGTCAGCCTCCGCCTCTGACACCCACAGGGCTGCCCCTGCCCCTCTTCATGTCTTTACCCAGATATCACGCAGGGAGCCTCCTCTGACTCAAAGTGCGCTCCCAGGGATCCCAGCCTCTTTCTCAGCTCTATTCTTCCCATGAAGGAATCGCCCTTGTGTGGTAGAATTCACTTGTTTGAGTTGTTTATCCTTCCTGTAAGCTCTGGAAGACAGTTTTGTCTCTTTTGTTCCCTGACGATCCCAGGAGGAAGAGTAGTGTCTAGCACACCCGGTGCTCCATGAGTATTTGCGGAATGAACTAGCTAAACAGTTAAGTGATTAGAATCAATGAATGGAACCCTTGAGCTATTTGCTAGGATGGGCTGTGGTGAAACACCCTTTATTGCCCGAGTCCTCAGCACACCTGCCACTCACCGGTGCCGCCAACGGGAGGGGCAGGCCCTTGTGCCCAGGCCAGGGGTGTTGGATTTTGTTCTGAAGGTACTCGGACCCTGCTAGGATGTCTTGATCAGAAAAATGATGGGACCAGATCAGTCGTTTGAGAAAAATCTCACTGGCCGCAGCATGGAAGAAGGATGGGGTGGACAGGGCTGAGGCTCTTGCCCCTGGGTCTCCAGCACACGCCTCTGCCTTGGGTCTGCTCGGACCTGGGGACTGGCAGCTGCACTGCTGGGCAGATCAAGGCAGCGGGAACATTCGTTCTCCAAAATGATGACATGAGACGGCTTCTCCAGCTGCCACCTCGGTCCTGAAAGAGGAATTCCAAAGGCAGTTGCCTCGGATCCCACTCGGACTCAAGAACATGTTGCCTCTCTTAAATGCAAGGTGGCAAAGGGGAACAATAGGGGGACCCCAGAGGACAGATGGGGCTGCAGCCCTGCATGACCACAGGGTCTGCCTCTGCCCAGCCACCTCCCTCCTCGGGCCTTCATTCTGCTCCTCTCTACCTAAGGCCAGCCACTCCCCTGCCCTACAATGAACCACCCATGTCCCTGTTGAGGGCACCATGCACCCTGGGGGCCCTCTCAGCCAAGAGACGGTCCCCAGGCTTCAGTGGCCCAGGGACCCTGAGCAGCCACTCCCACTTCTTGTCATCACAGCCGAAAATGACCTGTAGATGAGGGTATCCTATCCCACCAGCCCCAAGGGACATGCTCAGGCTGGAAGAAGCCACCAAACACTGCCACCACCTTCCCAGCTCCAGAGGCTCTGTGCCAACACCAGGGCCCCTTGGGCCCGCCCAGCCCACAGACATTGGACTCTGAGGGCTGTCAGGAAAGGTGCAGGTGGAGCCGGGGTCCTGCCCAGCAGGTGTAGTTCCCAGGCTGCCTCTGGGTGGCGTGCTTGGACCAGTCAGGTGCCCTGTGTTCACCTAACACCAGGGAACCCGTCTCCCGCTGCCAGGGCTGTGCAAGCCGGTAGAAGCACAGACGTGGGCATTCCTCAGCCCTGCCCAGGCCTCGAGGGTGGCGGGTCAGGCACCCCTGCAAAAGGCTGTGGTCCTCCAAATCACACAGACCCCCACCCTCGTTTTCTAGAACTTTCATAGCAAGCTACCACAGACTAGATGGCTTCAACAGCAGAAACATATCCGCTGACCATTCTGAAGTCTGAACATCCGTGACCAAGACGTTGACAGGTGCGGTCTCTGCAGAAGCCTCTCTCCTGGTCTGCAGACAGCCGCTGCCTCTTCACATGGCCGTTCCTCCACACGTGCTCAGCCGGGGAGGCTGTGAGCCACCCGTTCTCTTACAGGAATGCCAGTCATGTCGAATGAGAGCTCCACCTTCATGCCTCATTTCTACTTAATCACCTATTTATTTATTTATTTATTTAAGACTGAGTCTCACTCTCTTCCCCAGGCTGGAGTACAGTGGCGCGATCTCAGCTCACTGCAACCTCTGCCTCCTGGATTCAAGTGATTCTCCTGCCTCGCCCTCCTGAGTAGCTGGGATTACAGGTGTGCACTACCATGCCCAGCTAATTTTTTGTATTTTAGCAGAGACGGGGTTTCGCCATGTTGGCCAGGCTGGTCTTGAACTCCTGAGCTCAGGCAATCGGCCCATCTTGGCCTCCCAAAATTCTGGGATTACAGGCATGAAACACCACGCCTGGCCTAAATCACCTCTTTAAAGGTCTTATCTTTTTTGTTTCTATTTTTTTTTTTTTTTTTTTTGAGACGGAGTTTCTCTCTTGTTACCCAGGCTGGAGTGCAATGGCGCGATCTCGGCTCACCGCAACCTCCGCTTCCTGGGTTCAGGCAATTCTCCTGCCTCAGCCTCCTGAGTAGCTGGGATTACAGGCACGCGCCACCATGCCCAGCTAATTTTTTGTATTTTTAGTAGAGGCGGGGTTTCACCATGTTGACCAGGATGGTCTCGATCTCTTGACCTCGTGATCCACCCGCCTCGGCCTCCCAAAGTGCTGGGATTACAGGTTTGAGCCACCGCGCCCGGCCTGTTTCTTTTTTTTTGAGACAGAGTCTTGCTCTATCACCCATGCTGGAGTGCAGTGGCACAATCTTGGCTCACTGCAACCTTTACCTCCCGGGTTCGAGCGATTGTCCTGCCTCAGTCCCCCCGAGCAGCTGGGACTACAGGTGCCCACCACCACGCCCAGCTAATTTTTGTATTTTTTCTTTAGTAGAGACAAGGTTTCACCATATTGGCCAGGCTGGTCTCAAACTCCTGACCTCAGGTGACCTGCCTGCCTCGGCCTCCCAAAGTGTTGGGATTACAGGCGTGAGCCACCACACCCAGCCAAAGGTCTCATCTCCAGATATAATCACATAACCAGGTACTGAGGGTTGGGACTCCAACATATGAATTTTGTGGGGCACAATTTCAATCCGTAACACTGACGTAAGGTTCTTGTACTTTATGTGAAGTGGCATAACATTATGTAAACGAGACAATTCAGTGGAGAAAGAAACGTCTTTTCAA